GGTGGCGCGCACCTGCGCTGCGCCCTCGGCCTCGCGCCGCGCCGTGAGGGGCGGCCGGTCGGTCCCGTCTGCCGCCTTGAAGGGACCACGGCGACCCCTCTGCTTCTTCCTCATCCTCTTCCTTCCTTCCTTCCTCCGACTCGCCGGGGGAAAGCCCAGGTGACCGCTGCCGGGGTTGCGTGGCGTGTGTGTGCGTGTCCGCGTCGAGTTTGTAAGTTCTCAGAGGATATCGGCCTCCCCCCCCACCCCACCCCAGGCGGGGTTTCCTCACAGGGGGTCGGTGAAGGATATCCCCCCCTCCCCCCATACTTGCCGCTCCCTCCGTGACCAAAAATAATCCTACTTTGAAATCGTGGCTGCTGAATAACGGGGGTATTCAGCACCACAGCCGGCCCCCACCCCAAATTACAGCGCTTGGGGGGGGGGGGGCGTTTAGCTGTTTTATGGGCTCCCTCCCATGCCTGTGCTTTTTTTCCCTATGCAGGTGAAGGGAATTACCGTTGGGATCACTCAGCCTCTGTGTGTCGGTCCCTTGGCAGATAATCTCGGGCAGTTTTAAATATTTCCCCCCCCTCTGGTTTTGGGTTTGGTTTGTTGTTTGGTTGGGGTTTTTTTGTCACATTTATGTAACAAGTGCCTGCCTGCACATTAGCTTGGTGTTACCGTCTAGGGCGTTGCATGCTCTGGGGGTGCTGTATCCAGTGCTGTGTCTGAACATTAAAAAAAATGTCTTTCCGTTGAAGAAGACAGGGGTTAAAATGAATGAAGATCTGAAGGTTAATTTGAGCTGGCTGCCCCAGGATCATGTAGAAGCCAGCTCTACCGAGAATGCCTCAGCTGCAGGCTCCTCCCTGGTTCCTGTCGTAGACCCAGAGCCAGAGCTTTTGGTAAACCCCTGGGACATTGTCTTGTGTACTTCAGGGACCCTTATCTCCTGCGAAAATGCCATTGTGGTTCTTATCATTTTCCATAATCCCAGTCTTCGCGCCCCCATGTTCCTCCTGATAGGCAGCCTGGCGCTGGCAGATCTCTTAGCGGGCATTGGATTGATCATCAATTTTGTTTTTGCATACCTTCTGCAATCGGAAGCTACGAAACTGGTTACGATTGGACTGATTGTTGCCTCTTTCTCAGCATCTGTCGGCAGCTTGCTAGCTATTACTGTTGATCGTTACCTCTCCCTGTATTACGCTTTGACTTACAATTCAGAGAGGACTGTCACTTTTACCTATGTCATGCTTATATTGCTCTGGGGAGCATCTATCTGTATTGGACTGCTGCCTGTAATGGGCTGGAACTGCCTCAGAGATGAATCCACCTGCAGTGTTATCAGACCACTCACTAAAAATAATGCAGCTGTCCTTTCGGTCTCTTTCTTGCTTATGTTTGCCCTCATGCTGCAGCTCTACATTCAAATCTGTAAAATCGTGATGCGCCATGCCCATCAGATTGCCTTGCAACACCATTTCCTGGCCACTTCCCACTATGTGACCACCCGAAAAGGAGTGTCTACTTTGGCCATTATTTTGGGGACTTTTGCTGCTTGCTGGATGCCTTTTACGCTCTATTCTTTAATAGCAGATTACACTTACCCTTCTATATACACCTATGCCACCCTCCTGCCAGCTACCTACAATTCCATCATCAATCCTGTAATATATGCTTTTAGAAACCAGGAGATACAGAAAGCACTTTGGCTCATCTGTTGTGGCTGTATTCCATCTAACCTGTCTCAGAGAGCAAGATCACCCAGTGATGTCTGATTGGCAGCTAGGAGGACGCTCCTTAACATGTTGCTTTCCAGACATTCTTGCAATGCTGTTTTTGGTTTAGATGCATTCATTAAATGGTGTGTGATGGGTTCATATAAAAACCACAGGATGCACTGACGTTTTGTAAACAGAAAACCCCAGTGACCAAAATGAATCAAGTGGTTTAAGGGAGATTTCCAAAATCAAAATAACCAGTGTTCTTACAGATTTATAATGTTGCTCAGGGTCTTTTTGTTATATTACCCAGACTTTGCCATGTTTGCCATAATTTTACATTGTTTGCTAATTAAAATTAGATTGAAACAGCATACCTCCTTTGAAATTATGTGATTGAGTTTAGTCATACTGCATGTTACAGTCTGTCAGGATATTTTTTTCTCTCTAATTCTTTCTGAAACAGAAAAAAAAAAGAAAAGAAAACCCAAGTCCTGTTACCCCATTTGTATGTCATCAGAATACTCTTCAAAATAATGGCCAATTGTACTGATTTATATGGTATTTATTGCAATAATCTCAGTGCAACAAATTTGCTCTAAGTGAGGAAGTACTTGTAATAGCTTTTTATTTTACATCTCAGCAGGAATTAGCTTGATAATTGTTTTAAAGGGTTACCTGTTCTCTCCTGAGTTCTGGCTGGATGTTAAAACAGAAGATATGCTTTGCCTTCCTTTTCAAAAGTCAGCCATATGTTTTCACTTAGATATGGGATAACAGAGCTCATTACAGTGTTAATTTTAAAAGGAATTCAGGGGAGATCTTCGAAATTGATGAAACAATATGGCCTCTTTTGGCTATGCATTTGTAACAGATGCGAGTTGCTCAGACAAGTTTATCTTTTCAGAAGTGTATAAGAAAATATCTAATAAAATAACCTACAAATTGCTTGTGACACGTATTTAGCACCTACATGAAATGGTTCCCCTTAAGTTTGTTACAAAGTAAAAAATATTACCACTTGTTTTCATTGTTCTGCTATATAATTTCAAATACTGAAGTTTATAAATACTGAGAGCATATCTAGTTCATAATTGTATGCAACCAGAACATGAAACAATATTTTCTCCTTTTCTGGCAGTTTCATCCGTTACAGATTGTGATTCTTCGCACTGTACGCATGTCAGTTCACTTCATTATAGGATGATAGTTCTGGTCTGAAAAGCAGAGCTTCCTCTCATGAATGGTTAAATTTCAAACCGCTTCTAACCTTTTACTGAAGCCACATTTGAATGCACTAGAAATAAATCATTGTTTTCTAATTTGAAGACATGATTGTCAGAGATGAAATTTTCTTGGCACCTGTCTTTGTGAAACTTAAGGTGTACCCTAATGACAGTGCATGGGAGTTTATAGTACCACTTCCATTAGTGTTGATGGGAGCTCAGTGTGTTAATGCCCTGGCATCAGTAGGAGGTTATATTCCCTTGAATGTCAAAGTCAGCATACTGTATTGTTGCTTCAGTATCTTCCATTACAGTTTAAAAAAAACCAACAAACTCAAGTGTAAAAATAGCAATATTTACAGTTCAATGAAAAAATATACCTGTATAGTATAGATAGTAGAGACAACTGTGTTGCTGGTCTGGATTTTTCCAAATGGAATCTGTCCTTTTTACATGGACATTTGGATGACTGTAGCTTTTTGTGGTAAAGTTTCTGTGACATTAAGAATCATACGCTATACACAAAGCTGAATCTCAAATGTGAATGAGTTGTCTGTAAACAAGGCTCTGTAGAGGTTTTTATGAGCAATAATTAATTTTAGTTGCAATGCTGGGTTCAAATTCCATTATATACTTGGTTCAACCTTCATAATATTTGGCTCTTACTTTGTAAAGTGATTAGTTTAATAATTGCATGGCATGGTCCAGTAGAGCTGTGAACTTGCAGCTCCCTTGGCTTCACTGCAATTTACAGATGCTCAGCACAGTTAGACTATGGCCCCTGCTCAGCATAGGATATTGGTGTTCTTTATCTACTTCCAAATGCTAATGAAACTCTAGTCATTGCGTTTTGTTATGAATTTTTGTATAAGAAATAATCACTTCCTAAATATCCATGCTATGTATGCGTGCAGTTTTGCAAGTATGCAAAGTATTGGGAATAAATGGCAGCAAAAGCCATGAGCTGAATAATGTAGAACGGCACTTCTAAAAGCAAAAAATAAGTTAAAGTCATGCAAAGTTTACCCGCCCCCTTTTTCCCCCCCATTTGTTCTTCTATATCAAATTGCCAAAAAGTGTTATGAAGATGAGCAGCTACAACTGTGACCAAGATTCAGTCCCGAGGGCAATTGTTGGTTTGCTTATGCAGACCTGTTCTCATCCTCTTGGGTAACCTCATAGGCACTAGTGTTTTTCTCTCCACAACACCTGGGTAGTAGGGAAGCCAGAAGAAAACAGCACAGAGGGAGAAAATGTAGTCCCCTCTTCTCTTGCTGGTTCACCTGGTGTCCTTGTCATCTTCCTTGCTCCACAGGCTGTCAAATCCACAGAGACTCTCCCGAGTGCCGGGGGAGCCGACCTTTTCCTTGTGCCAGAGCAGAGAGATTTGTAATTGGAAGCAGCTCTCCTGAGGAGCAATGCGAGTCAAACGGAGGAAAGAAAGATTAATTATAGAGGTCCCACAAAGCTAGCTCATAGGGATGTGATTTGCCCTTGTTTGAGGAGTAGCACATGGTTACCTTTCACCACAAACAGATGAGAAACATGATTATGCCTCCCAAGCTACTGCTGTGACCTCCAGTGAGGGTATTGTATCTTCCAGAAATACGTTCTTAAATTGAGACTGTGCAGCATAGGCCAGAAAATTCTTCTGGAAGTCAATGACATAGGTTTGCCCAGTTGTCAGACCAAATGTTAACATGGTTTGTAGTACCGGATAGATGCTATGTAACACACCTGTGAACAAACTCCTGGGAGTAGGGGCAGAGCTGTGGGTACAAAGCTGCCTACCTCACTTGCACAAAAGAAATGCTTGACAGACAGCCACTTTTCAGACCCTGCAGAGTTAAGCAACTCTCTACTATCACCTCAGAGTTACAGTGTAAGCCCCAGTTCTGTATGGTGAGGTGCCAGTATCCTTCTAAGATCCATCTGAAACTGGCAGAAATCCAGCCAGCTTGCAGGATTCTGTCCTTTTGTTGTCCCATCAACCACCACCTGTGCGTAGGACCAGAGGTGTTAGATTCACCATTCTATGTACAGTGAAGTATCTTTCATATCTCTATTGTAATGACAAAAGACATTTTTCTTAATGCATAATTTAGTTTAAAGAATTGCAGTTCATTTTTATTTATTAACACACATGACCCAAAGTCAGTAACAGGTTGTATCTTGATGGGCAAAATTTACTGTAGTCAGTTTTTTCATATATTTATCCTCAAAGCTTAGGAGAGGATTTTTTTTAATTGCCTCTTTTTTTTTTTTTTTAAATATTTCTCCTAACAGTAAGATTTCAGCAATAAGGGGAAATATGTTTTTAGCACAAGAGCAATAAAATCCTCCATGTTGCGGGTACTATAAACTGCTGAGTAAACTCAGAGCAACAGAGAGGAAGCAATATATTCTTTAGACAAAAAATAGTAACTTGCATAAGGACTTTAAGTAAGCAGAAGTCTTCCTTTGTTAAGCAGTTGCTATCGGACTGATGTGGGACATCGTTTCTGGTTGGTTTGTGTTACAGTTATTGAGTTCCTGAACAGAATTACTCAGCAATAACCTCTTACCTTAGTTCTTGGATCCTGAATTTGTGCTATGTGCAAGAGAGGATTATGTACTGCAGTGGGGATTCTTATTCTTTTCATTGTTTGGCATTTAGTTGTACAGCATTCTATGGATAAATTCACTGCGTTCAGGATTTCCGATTGTAACTTAATACTGACAATACTCCTCACCAAACAAAAACTGAGAATACCCAAATTTGTCATGCCCATCAAGATGGACATGATAAATGGTGCTAGCCCATTCTGAAGACAGCTTGGCTTTTAAAAGAATAAGATTATGGTATCATTGAAGAAAACCCCTAACAATGCCCAAGGTATTTGGATGCAAGCTGAAAGGCCTGCTGTCGCTGCTCTATCTTCCTACCATGGACACTCAGTGACATAAGCAGCTGTGTCCATTCTTTGGGTTCAGGGGCCAGCCTTGAGGCATCTTGGAGTCACCAAAACCCCTCCATGGACAGCAGTGAACTTTGGCTTAGACCAGCAGCCATTCTATCCCCAAAGAGTTATTTTTCTGTTGCCTCATTTTCTTAGGGTTTGTTTAGCTTTTGAAAATGAGGTACTTGTGGATTCATTTCTCCAAAGTGATAAGCAACCTGCCCTATAACTGGAAGTTTGGATAAAATAGCATCGCTACAAATCAAGCCCCTGAAACATAACTACACACTCCTTACTTTTAAAAAAAATGTGGTTCTGTAACATTCTGAACCATATTTTCAAAATGTTGGCCCTGACTTTTGTGGAGAGAAAGTATGTATGGTCTGGTTTTTGTATGTACAAGAAAGAAAAATAAGAATTGGACTGAGCAGTCACTATTTAAAAAACCACCAGCTATTCTGTCACTGTATCCAAGATACTGAATGGTTCTTAGTCCTTGAAACAGAAACCAACTCTGGCAACTTTCTAGAAAATCCTGAATACCCACAAGTCAGTGTAAAAGCTTTGTAGCAAAAGTAGGAGGTCTAGCATGGTTGCCAGTGCAAAAGAATTTGATGTAATGGCTCTCTTGTGAGTGGGAATAGGAACAGTGTACCTGTACACCAGCTGTAGACAGCTCAAGTCCTAGGTGTATAGGAGTAGCGCCAGAAAAAGGTGAACAGCATTTCTTTAAATTGTTCTGCTGCAAGAAGACAATATCAGGTAGACTGTCACTGGTACGGATCCTATGTTGTAAGAATTCAAGAATATTTTAAAGTGCTAGTGCCCAGCTATTCAGGAAAAGGTATCATGGTGGTGTACTTTTTGAGGGGGATCAAGAACGCAGCTAGAT